GACACATCCCCGGCCCCCTCTGCTTCATCTGTTAACTCTTAACTCTTTATCTGCACCAAAGGGGTGGAGGGAGGGGCAGTCTGGCCAGACCCACCCTTCTCGGCCCCCACTTGTCCCTTTCTTTCATCTTCTCTGTACTCAGCGGTGGGGCTGGGCCGGTTGAGGCCAGGACGTATGGTGGCTTCTTCCTCACTGACAATCCCAGGCGCTGGGCTCTTGCTACGTTGACATGTGGTCCGGCTCCCCAGCACCTGCCAAACGCCAGCCCTTCCCTGCCTGCCACACTTAGTTCCATGGGGTCAGACTGTGGTGCACACACCAGGGAGCAGATGCGCATGAGGTGCTTTGAAGGTGTCCCGGGCCCTGGTGAGGGGTGAGGAGGCCGGAGAAGGCTAGACACTGTCTCCAGGAAGTGACCTGTGCAGGCGCCAGCCCTTACCTCTCGCCATGAGCCTTGGACTGGACCATTTTACAATCTGCTCACAAGTCCTACTCCTGGAAGGGGTTTATCCCTTTTCTCCGAATGGGGGACCACCACTCTCATTCTATTCTGTGGCGTCCGCCGTTCGCAGACTGTGATGTGAATGGTGGTTCCGGAGCTCTGCGTGTGGTGGCTACTCACAGCTTGGGTGTGTGTGTTGGGGGCGGAGGGGGAATGAAAATCACTCCTTGGGGATTGAGACCAAGAAACAGTATCAGGGGCTGAAGCAATCAGCAAGTGTCTGTCCCAGGGCTGGCCCCTCCAAGGGTCAGAAGGGTGCTGGAGTGCCCAGCTCTCCCATTTCCCATTCTCTGACCACACGTCACACCCTACTTAATCACCAACACGCTCCATGGGGCTGGAGTGAGTACCCCATTTTCAGATGAGAAGCCCAAGGCTCTGAGAGGGAGGAGACTGGCACAAGGGCATATGCCCTGACTACACAGGCCTCAAGCTCCCATCATCTCCTGCTCTGAGCTCTGGGCCACATGCAGCAGCTGACCCCTCTGACCAGGGGTAGGAAGATGGCCCGAGCAGGCCGCACGGTAGCTTTGCGCAGAGAGCAATCTGGGGCTTGCGTGAGTCCAAGCGTCACCGCACTGTCTGAGAGTGGAGGGGTGTCAGGCTTGCTTGCTGTCTGTCTGCAGCAGCCCAGCTGGCCCGAGGAGGCCCTGGAGACCCATGGTGTGAGTAATGGCTTCCTAGGGATTTGCACTGTCACAAGAGCAACCCCTTACGAGGGACAGGGAGCAGGGCCTCTACTTGTGGGCCCCTGACCCACACACTGAGCGGGGGCTAGCACTCAGGTCCCAGTCCCAGCTGTGCCACTGCTGTGTGCTGTGACCTCAGGAACCCCCAGCCTCACTGAATCCGTGTCGCAGGAGGATACAGACTCAACAGCCTGCTGTCTGGGAATCCTCACTGGAGCTCCCCCCCTCCCCCACGACCATCACACTGTAGAAAGACATTTGGTCTTAATCATTCTCGTGTTTTTCCGATGATGGGGGGTGCGGGGAGTGGTGTCCCAGGTGGCAGCTGGGCCTGAGCTGTCAGCCTAGGCAGGAGGCAAACAACCCATGACTCAGGCAGGGCACGTCACAGCTGGTGGAAGGAGGGGTTCCTGCCACCCTGTGGCTGGGGGTTGCTCCGGACACAGGGAACTCCAGCTCCTGGCTCTCGGCCGAACCCAGTGCCTCCAGCCCTCACCTGCAGCTTGGCCATGGCTTCAAGGGCCTCCCAGGCATTCTGTCCCACCTGCCCAGAGCAAACCAAAAACAGGGATGCAGAAACACCCAGCTGGAAGGTGGAGAGCCCCGCCTCCGCGCCCCCCCATAAGCCCTGAGGCACCTTCGAGCCCTTGGGGCTGAGTCCCATCACAAGTGACTGTAACTGCATTTCAAACCAGAAGGTTATACAAATTAGTTGTTTATTTTGCCTTTTAGTATGACAATTCCAAAATTTAACTTGAAGATAAGCACAGAAGCTGCTGTGACATAAAAGGAAAGAGTCACTTGGCAATGCCCTGAGTCCTCCACTGCTGGCATCCTGCCTCCTGCCTGCAAGGACGGCCCCAGGCATGCCCAGCTGCCCAGAACACAGGCAGAAAGGCAACACCGTGCAAAGTGAGGAGTAGGGATTTGTGCAGTAATACATTTAGTTTAAAAAAAAAAAAAAAAAAAAAAACTGGCTATTTGCCTAGAGTACTTCCTATATCAATATAATGTAGAAACCAGAACTGTTCCCAGCACTCAACAGTCTTGGCTGCTGTCGGATAGCTGTCGGCATGACTGCAAGTAGCCCCGAGGCTACCTGGGGTAAGAAGTGGGCCCATGCATACATAAGGAGAAGTCAGTGATGGTCAAGGCTAGAGGTCAGAGATGGCACAGAGGTGCAGAGCGATTCCGGAGGCTCAGGTTTACATAAATACGCACAAAGGAGTCGTGCACGCAGAAAAACTTGTTATATAAAATAGATGTACATAATCTAGAAAACCTTGATAAAAATAGCCTATAAAAATATAAACTGTAGTGAAAATATACAAAAGTATTAACAAATGTTCAACCCACACAAAACAACTCACCAACGTGAAAGCTGGCAGTTCCCACCTGGTGTGATGAGCACGGCTCCCCTTGGCCTTGGTGTGTGTGCCTGGGAAGCAGGCTGGAGGCTGCCCCACCCCGGGCTAGCACCTGTCAGAAGGGCCCTCCCCATGGGACCAGCAGGGGAGGCACTGGAGGGTACAGAGCAGCTCTTTCCTCAACAGCACAAGGAGAGGGGAAGCGTTGGCTCAAAATAGTGGGACCAAACCCTACAGTTCTGGAGGAAGGAATCAGCTCCATCCCGTCCCCAGTCTGGAATCGGGCCAAGCATTCCCTCTCCCACCCTCTAGACACCTAGCGCTTTATTCCAGAGAGGAGAACCTCCTAGCAAGGGTTCCTGGTCCACTTCCTCCACAATCTCTCTCTCTGCTCTCCCATGCCCACTGCCTGACCACTGATGTTAACAGCCTGGAAATACTAACACGCCACCACCACTCAGGGCACGGCTGACATCGGCCACACACAGCTGGTCCCTGGGCCCAATTCAGGTGCTTTTAAGATGAGTCTTTTCAAGGCAGAACAGACAAAACAAGCATATGCCTAAAGGCAGCATTTTAGCCCACAGGACACAGCAGTTCCACGGGGAAATCAGCTGGGAAACTAAAGTGACCTGTGGGGCCCCAAGCCCATTCCTACTGCACCTCCTGGGCTGCTGGCCGCTAGGCTGACAGCAGGTGTGGGAGGTGAGGGCCGGGAGGCGGTCTCCAGCGGCCCCAGTGGTCCTGCGGGCGTCTGTGCAGAGTGGCGAGGCTGCAGCCCGACTCAAGGCAACTTCCTGAAAACGGCAGGCCTCAAACAGCTGCTCCCAAAGACCAAAACGATGATAAAATATGTTTTTGACACCTGAAAACAGACAAAGGCTTTTGGCTACATACAGAGGCCAGCTCCCTGTACACAGTGAGAAATCGAATTAACCAGCTTAACCAAAGACAGAAAAGTTGAGCTTAGTCTAGTATGCTGAAATGCCATACTAGCTATGATACTGCTAGAAGGTTGACAGAAAAAAAAAAAAAAAAATGCTTATGAAAAAAGTGCTGCTTCAAATTACACTCAATAGTCTGTGTTTTGTATCAACTAAGGATTATTTCCGATTTTTTCCAGGTAGTGTAAAAAAATCCATGTAAAATTTTCTTTCCTATTTGAGTAATACTGTCCAGGAAACATTCTCTCGTATCTACACGTCAGGGATGGTCCACAGAGTGATTAAGCAAAAATAACCTTCCTTGCACAAAGCCTCTTTCCAGGCCTTCAAAAAGGTAGTGCTCTAAGTCCCAGAATTACCTAGGCAGCCTCACATACTGGGAGCAATGGTGACCCCACAGGTCAGCTCATCCTTGCTGAGAACAAGGATGCCTCTGAGTGGCAGTGGGGAGGGGACGCGTCTGGGAGGGCTCTCCAAGGCTTTGACCTCAAGTGAAGGCTTCCCAGCCCAGGCCCTGGCAGCCGGCCTCCTGCCGTCCCAGCCAGACACACTGGCTGTTCCCGAGGAAGCCACAGTTTCCAGCTGCCCAACAGCATTCACTCTGCAGCTGCACCGTTGCCCTGCAAAGCACCCCCAGAAAATCTTCCTCCATCCCCTCAACCAAGGGTGGGCCTGCTCTGTAGGATGATGATCCAGTTTCCTTGGGATCCCATCCACACGTGTAGAATGAACCAAGGGTCAACTCTCAGATGGAAATAAGAGGTTTGCACAGAGCCTCGTGGAGCCGTGCAGACAGTGAGCGTGTGATGTCTGGAGAGCCAGGCCCTCCCCCAGCAGTTTGGGAGTTACTATTTGAAAGGCTGTGTGTGGAAGGGCAAAAGCTATCCCAGAAATAGGGCACGGCCAGCACCTTGAAGCCACCAGCAGAAGGTCTGTGGGCTTTCTATAGGCCGTTTCTGAAAAAGGGATGTGCTTGCTTTCCTAAGGAAGTTCCTTTATTCACACCAACCTTATGCCATCCAAAGCAGTCAGACTCTGGCCCAGGAGTGTGTGAAGTGCAGTGGGCACCCTCCACAGCAACTGCTTAAAACATTGCCCACGACGGCCCACTACGTACAGGAGGTACCACAAGGGGAGATGGCCCACGTAAGGTTTTCTAAGCACAGTCACCAACAAAGCTGACAGATGCTGTAAATAGGCTCTTGAAAATTGCCAGCTATAAGCCTAGCGATGCACTGATCAGGCAGAAATCATGACGGGATATGAGTAACCATGTGCCACGGCATGAAGATGGCTGTAAACAGATTAGACCCCCACCCCGAGTGGAAATGAGAAAGTGCAGTGTGGCTTTGGACATCTGCCCAGCAGACTTCCAGAGACCATGGATGTTACATTCTGGCTTTGAAACGAGCAGAAACATCTCTGCAGTTCACCCTTTTGGCACACTTTGGTTGTGAAGGCAGGAAGAGCGGCGTCACGGGCTGGGAGTGGGTGGCACTCAGGAGTCCTCCTCCTCGTCGCTGACCAGCTCGCCCTTGTCAGGGCTGGTGTCCCGGTCACGCAGGAAGTCCTCCCGGATGGCCTCCAGCTCCGTCAGCTCCAGCCGGACCTTCTCCAAGTGGTAGGTGCGCCGGTTCCGGATCTGGCGCAGGGGGAATGGGTTCAGGTCCCCAAAGGAGATACCGATCAGCTTCCTGGCAGGACACAGCACAGAGACAGAGCATCAGGGGGGCTCAGGCGAGAGCTCACACACAGCACTCATTTCAGCCCAGCCTGGAGGCCTGGGGGTGTGGGGAGGCAGACCCCGGACACCACGCTGAGGGCCTGATGTAGATATGTCACTCGGAGGCCAGCGCTCATGCAGAGGCTGCAGGGGCAGCCCCCAAACGCCGGCCTGGATCCAGACAGCTCCACCACGTGCTCCCCATGGGACACAGAAAAGGGAAAGTGACCCCCCTTTCCAGCCCCCAATTCCTCATCTGTACATTCAGATAACAGCGGCGCTGCCTCCTGGACATGGGGTTACTCAAGTTGCCCGTGAGCACAAGGACGGGGTCTGGCACTTGCTCAGCGATGGTGGGGGCCACGTGCCTCTGAGTCCTCGGAACCAGCATGAGGTCTGGCGCAGGGTGCGCTCAGAAAGGCTCTGTCACTGGACGGACTGACGCGGCGTGAATGGATGCACGGATGCCCGAGCAAACCTGGGGACAACTGTCAGACTCAGTGGTGTGACAGGTGTCAAGACGCAGTCTACGGAGAGACGTGCAGTTTGTGGGTTTCCTACTATCCCCAGGTCAAGGCACCCATCTACAGTAAATACTTTAAAATCACGGGACCTTGCCCCTAACCACTGGCCAGCGGTTTAATAAAAACAGGACTAGAAAGAGCCCAAGGCCTGGCTAAGGGCTTCCAGCACTAATCACGGCAGCCACGGCCGTCTGGTGTTGTCACAGAAGCCGGTTCCTCGCACACTAAGCCCCCGCCTCCCTTCTGCCGGCCCCAGCAGCAGGGATCTAAGGCCCGATGCTCTTGCAGACCCAGGAGAGGCTGTGATGAAACAGCAGTGTCACAGGACTTCCTCCCCGCCTGTCAGAAAACAAACCGCTCCTGCTGCTGCCCCATCGCGTGGGGTGCTTTACTGTGACGTGTACACGCCCTTAGCATCCCTCCCTCTTACATACATTTTCAAATTTTATTTATTTTGTTTATTTGGCTGCACCGGGTCTTGCCTGTGGCACGTGGGATCTAGTTCCCTGACCGGGGATCGAACCCGGTCGATCTGCACTGGGAACACGGAGTCTTAGCCACTGGACCACCAGGGAAGTCCCTCCCTCTTATATTTTTAAACACTCACACCTTAGACATGCTTCACTCTAAGACAAAGGATGCTCCTGCAAGGAGGTGAAGGGTCAGAAAGGCTGGCTTTAAGAGCCGAGCTCCCCAGAGCATGTTCTAGAACTCGTGAGCAGGAAAGGCCTACTCAGTGTGGGTCTCTGTGAAACAAAATGCTGGCTGGGGTCTGGGAACCAGGCCTGCATGACCAGCCCCTTTTCTTCAACAGCTATTAGTCACAGGCTCCATACACCTGAAATCCAAGTGTCCAGGCCCTTCCTTGCTACAGAAAGCACTGCATTAGATTAATACTGTCCGCTGCCTCCGTCAGGCAGCCACCATCAGCGCAGGCTGGGGCAGCACGGGGGACCGCACACCGCTCTGCCTCGGGCCTGGCAGGTGCGGTCAAGAGATGAGAAAGTGCCCTGTGTCAGCTACGTTCAGAAGACAACGCCTGGCGTGTGAGAGGCCCCGGAAGGTCCTGATTCAGAGACGGGTCTAATCTTGTTGCACAGCACCCCTGACCACATCTCACTCAGTCGCCTGCCTCCTCCTCACAGAACCAATCAGGGCGCTGCAGGTCGACGCTCCTTGGAACCGCTAGTCTGGGGAGCTTATTAAAATACTGGGACCCCAGTCCAGAAGTGGGGCCAGGGCATCTGCAGTCCTAACAACACCCACAGGTGATCCCGCCGCACAGGGAACTCCGTCCAGTGGACGCAGACTTCCTGCGGCTAACTGACGGGAAACTGCACAAAAGCCACTCACCAGGTGGCGCTGCAGGAGTGCGCAGGACGGACCGTATCCCAGCCAGGCCCACCGCCCCTTGCGTCTCTGCCACCCAGCAGCACCGACAACCCACACAAAACTGTTAGGGGCTGAGCAGGATGCCCTCCACACGCATTAGCTGTTGGAATGAAGTTCACTGAACGCCACTCTTGTCATCTTGACCGGATGTGAGATTAACAAACGCTCTCAAGGTTCACCCCAGGACTCAGCATCAATCTTTCACAGGCAAACATTATTCTTGGATATCCTATTATTGTTAATATAGCAATAAGCCTGAAAACATCTTAAAAATCTACTTCCCAAGTAAAAGATCCTAACGATAGTGGTGACATCCAAGGAAGCCAGGTCCACCTTCTCCCAGCGTCCACCTCCCTGGTCCCTTGGCCTCACTCAAGAGAACCACAGGGGAATGGTCCTCCTTCCCCCCTCTCCGGCCCCACACGCTCTCCTGCCACAAGACTCCTGCAGCACCGGAGCCCTCAGCCCCTCCTGGCTGACCAGAGGCCTGGATGCTGCCCAACCACCTCTCCCTACCTCAGCCAAGGAGAGAAGCCCTCCCTCCCCGTCAAGTGAGCATCATGGGGGGCGGGGTGGGCAACTGGTGTTTGTCAAGTAGGTTGTCACCCATCAGTGGATCAAGGAATCAATTGAGTGAGTCATGACGAGCATTTTAAATATGCAATAAACAGTGTATTTAGAAAATCTATCAGAGGGTACAGCACAGATCTTTGGCAAGCACTGGAAATATTTCAACAAATTCTTTTGTTTCAGTTATATACACTCCAGTATGTGTGTCCTAGGTTGTGAGATAAAATGTTCTTATTATGGGTGGCAGTCAACAGAGTTTGAAAAACATTAATAAGCTCCAAATGTTTCTCAGTCAAAGGACTCCTGTGGTTTTCAAGAGGCCACAAGTCTGCTGCAGGGATCCATTCCCGTGCAGTATGGGCAGCTCCCAGCACCTCGGCACAGCGAACGTTAGCGCTGCCTGCGTGGTTCGCAGGGACGTGCGCCCTCACTTGCCCAATCAGCAGCAGGTCCACAGAACTCCCCTGGAGAACCCAGCCTTGGTCATCAGGGCCAGAGCAGCTGCCAACTGTAGTTCAGGGGACACACGGACAATGAGGGTGGCTCAGAACAGGCAAAAAGTGTGTGGCTGGGGAGCGAGGGGGTGAAGAGATTCCTGAACGCTCAGCTGCCCAGGCCAGAAAGCCAGGGGACTTGGAAGTTCAAATTCCTTCTCCACCCCCTTCAATCTGCCCCCTCTTTTCTGTCTCTGGGGGCACCTCGCTGCAGGCTACCACCTCTCTCGCCGGGACCCTCTGGGCTCCTGCTGTCAGTCCTCCTCCAACCTGATGTGTCCTTTTGGTGTCTAACCCTGCAGGGACTTCCCAACACTCAGGATGAAGCACAAGGTCCTGGGCAGAGTCTACAAGGGCCTTAACAGCCCAGCTCTGCTCCCGCCTGGCCTCGATCCCTGCCGCACCAGCCCCACCCTGGCCGAGCCACTGCGGCAGTTCCCCCAAACACGCCGTGCGCCCACAGCCCTGCGAGCACACGGCTCCTGAGTCCCTCTGCCCGGGCTGCCCACTCCCCCCCAGCCCTGCCTGGCCCAGGTCACCCGGCCTTCCTCTGGCACTTGCCCCATCCCCGGGCTTCCTCCACCACAGCTCTGAGCAAACCAGGCCGTAACACTTCCCCACAAGTTCTTCAAGGACAGGGCCTGTTCCTCATCTACCATCCTCAATGCCTGGCAGCGGGCTTGCCGTGTGGCTGATACTCAGCAAGTGCTCACTAGACAAATAATGTGCTTTGGTTGCTGGGATTTATGTTTGTTGAATAAAGGATAAAAGCATCTTTCATCTTAGTTCCTCCCTAGTCTCTGGAGGCCGCTGGGCGTTCCCACTCCTTTCCCCCTTTTCCCTGGGAGGAAGCGCCCTCTCTCACCACTGCACACCTGGGAAGGCTCTGGGTTTGAGACGGCCGGGACAGTCCGTTCCCTGCCCTCCTGGGACGTCTGGGGATTCCCCCAAGGACTCACCTAGCGTCAAGGATAGTGCGAGTGAAGTAACGGAGATACTTGAATATGGACATTGAATCTTGCAATTTCAGGATCTCCTCTTCCTTGTATTTAAAAAGTGCCAGGGCAAAGCGGAAGATAACCTGTGGAAAGGACAGGGAAATCTATGAGTAGAGAAGCACCGTGGCCAGGCACCGGCTCCAGGGATGGAAGGCCTCCCTGGGCCCTGGGAGCAGCCTGCACGGCCCGCCCTGGGGCAGACACTTGACCTGAGGTGCAATTTCCACCAGTGCCTTTCTTAATAGAAAAAAGTTTTCAACTCTTTGGTGGTTTTCAGCAACACTTCAGCCCAAACCAAAAATTTCCTTAAGGAGTAGAATCTTTGTGGAATCCTTCCACATTTAGCTCACATTTCTAGTCAATAAGCTATACAGAACTAGAAATAATTTTTAACTTAAATCAAAACCAGGGTCCTCTGATTCTGAAACTTTTAGAAAACTCCACCTCCAGAGGCAGTTTTTATCTCACCTACTGAAACTAGGGTCTGAATTTCTGACTTCTGAATATGGTGAAAGAAAATAAATTTTTCTTTTTTTTTTTCTACTGATTTGTTTCTGGGTCACTGTTGAGGCCAGAGGGAATGGACTCCTGGTTGTCCTGCAAGTTCAAGCAGCTTTGGAACAAATTGCTTCGCCCACATGTAAGGGCATGGGCTGGCTTGCACCAACCTGAACTTTTTCTTATTTAGAAAACAATATTTACAGAGTTTAAATAGATTATCTTTCTCTTAACATCCCTACCTGTGGCCCAATAGGGAACACTGTTTAAGCCCTGGTTGAGAATTCCTTTCAATAATGACAGACTAGATTAAAAAGTTGATAATGTACTGTACTGGACAGAGTGTGGGGTAATATACACACTGAAACTTTGCCGGTGGGAGTAGAAATTGGTAAGGCCCTTCCGCAGGGCAATTTGGCATTCTCGATGAAAACTACAGGGTCCTTTGATTCTGGATTTACCCTGGACCTAGAACTTCCACTTCTAGGACTAAACTTATAGATGCACTTGCACCTATAGAAAGACAATTAATAAAGAGTCATGGCAGCACAGTTTGAAGTGGCAAAAGACTGCAAACAGTGTAAGTGTCCATCATCAGGGGACTGTTATGTAAATTTCTGGTTCATCTGCAGAAGGAGATACTATGCAGAGTTTATCCGTCGGATGAATGGATAAAGAAGATGTGGCACATATATACAATGGAATATTACTCAGCCATAAAAAGAAACGAAATTGAGCTATTTGTAATGAGGTGGATAGATCTAGAGTCTGTCATACGGAGTGAAGTAAGTCAGAAAGAGAAGGACAAATACCGTATGCTAACACATATATATGGAATTTAAGAAAAAAAAATGTTATGAAGAACCTAGGGGTAAAACAGGAATAAAGACAGAGACCTACTGGAGAACAGACTTGAGGATATGGGGAGGGGGAAGGGTGAGGTGTGTTAGGGCGAGAGAGAGACATGGACATATATATACTAACAAACGTAAGGTAGATAGCCAGTGGGAAGCAGCCGCATGGCACAGGGAAACCGGCTCGGTTCTTTGTGGCTGTCTGGAGGGGTGGGATAGGGAGGGTGGGAGGGAGGGAGACAAAGAGGGAAGAGATATGGGAACATATATATATGTATAACTGATTCACTTTGTTATAAAGCAGAAACTAACACACCATTGTAAAGCAATTATACCCCAAAAAAGAAGTTAAAAAAAAAAAATAAAAAAAGAGCCAGATCTATATGCCCTGATATGAAACTATCGCCAATAAATAATAAATTCAAAAAACATATTTTAGATATACATAAAACACCTTGAAAAAAAGATACAGTACATTGAGAAGAACGGCTAGGAGACTGGGGATCTCTTTTCTACTGCACGCCCTTAGTTATATGATCTGAGTTTATCATGTGTTACTCACAAACTGATTTTTTTAAAACATAAAACAGACTGGGTGGGAGGCTTGTGGGCAGTAGGGCTCTGAAGTTGGCCCCCTGAGTCTGCCCCTGATCCTCTGTCTACTCTGGGCCTCTACGTCCTCATCCATACAGTGGGGATAATACCGCCATCTGTTTGACAGAAGTTGAGGCTCAGACTGCAAACCATCAAAGCCCCCATGCCTGGCACAGGGTTTGGCAGAGACTCAGTGTTTCTGAAAAATGAGCAAATGACTGCAGTTTCCTGCGACCCCAGACCCACCTCCAGCAGCACCTGGTGCTGGGATCACTCTGCCCCTCGGCACCCTTCATGCGTCCCAGCTAAGCCGGCCACTCTGCTGCCACTGCCACTGCCCGTGGAGTCATGCAGCAAGCAGACCCACCTTTGGTCCCTCGTAAAGGAAAGAGTCCCATATTTTAAAGAGGATGTCACTAACGACGCTATCCACAAACACCACCAGAAACCAGTTGAACGTGATGAGGGTGTAGTCTACTTTGTACTGTTCAAAGTGGGCATGCAGTCGAGGCAGCTTCTCACTCATGAGGTCTCTGAACACCCGCTGGTCCACCTGGAGAGGGAGCAAAGGGGAGAAGCGTATGGGGGCTGCCACTGCACTGAGCAGCCCATCCGGGGCCCCGGAGGGGCTGCAGGCCCATCACAACACACAGCAGCGCAGCCGTTCCAAATGCGTGGCGGGCTCACCCCAGAGTGGACTGCTCTACACCCACTCTGGGGTGAGCCCGAGAAGCAGCTGCCTTGCACACTGCAGGTGCTCACCAAGTGCCCCCTGACTGTCATCCTTTCCACAGGGTATGGGGGTGGGTTCTGTGGCCTGAAAGCCACTCCTGTACTCAAAATGCCCCATGAAAATGGGCTGCTGCAGAGCCGGTGGTATAGTCGGTCTTGCTAATCCACGTGGAAATTCAGAGGGTGCTGCTGCAAAGGGCCCTATACCCGAGTCCCGGGCCAAAGAGGAAGTGTGATATCACCACATCCATTCACCAAATATTTATTGGGCTGTGTGGGGCAGTGAGGGAGCAAGGACTCCAGAGTCAGCTGGACCGGAGTTTGGTTCTCAGCTCTACCACTTTCTAGCTGGGTGGCCTTGGGCAGATTATGTTCTAGACAGCTCTGTGCCTCATCTGGAAAACAGTTAATGATCTCTCTCTCCCAGGGCTACTGTGAAGATTACATGAGACTCAGGTAAACACATATCAAAATAGGTGGCTGTTACCCTTCCATGCTCTGTGTCAAGCAGGGGCCAGTGCTGGGCAGAGAGTTGAATCAGGTTCAGCCCTGACCTCCAGAAGCTAGAAGACGAGTGGGGAAGCCAGATGTATGGGCTGTTAGGATAGCTGTGGCCACCAGGGCTCGGTAAAGATGTGTTTACAGAGCATTACAGAGCCCCGGAGGGTCCCAGCCAAGCCTGGAGAACAGCCCTGCGGTGGAAGCACAGGATTCTGGGCAGAAGGGGTGAGAAGGACGCAGCTCAGCCCGGCAGAAGCACCAGGTCCCTGAGGGGCAGACCTCACCTACAGGCCTGGGGCTTTTCCAGCCTTTGTCTGTGACCCACAAGAAAATATACATCAGCCATCACCTAGTCTGTGTGCACAGAAGAGAAATAAACTCACAAACAATACTTAACCTCACAAAGCAGCACACATTTTGATGCCTCAGTTCTACTCTATTCATCTTAATTTGATGAAAAAAAAAAAAGCTAGTGCCAATACCGATTACTCATGTTTGAAAAACGCAGCAGGCAACGAAGGGGAAGCGCTAAGAGGCTTTAAGCAGGAGAGTGATGTGGTTGGATTTGTACTTTAGATCCATGTCTCCACCTGAAACAGGGGGCCAAGCTGAAGGGGAAGCAAGGCCCCATGGAGGCCCCACCACACCCGGGGCAGAGGTGATGAAAATCTGAACCAAGGAAAGGTGGTGGGAGGAGAGGGGCAGCTGGATCAGAACTGTGTAGAGGTAAAGTCTGTATGAACCCACGGACCCCTCTGCTGTCAGAGGTCAGGAAGAGGGGTGCTCAGAATACACAGCCTTCCCACAGGGGCATGGATGGAGAGGGCAGAGTGTGGTCCCCTGAGGCCGGATCATAGGAATGAGGGCTGGGCTGGGGGAGACTGGGACATGCTGGTGCCCGAGGGGCATGTGCAGCAGGGTAACTGCAGCCCACCAGAGGCCCGAGGCTGAGGCTCCAGGGCCTGGGTGGAGTGAGGTCACCTTAGGTGAGTGGTGAAACCGTGAGAAAGAAAGAGACCGGCAGAGGAAAGCAAGCCACAGATGCACAATGGGCCAAAGCCAGGCCGTCCAGGAACGAGAGCGCAGTGAGGAAGAGCCAGCTGCACGGGAAGTATATCACCTCCTTAGTGTTCCCTGAATGGTACACTGTGAGGGGAGTGGGAACCGGTACAACCATTTAGGAGAGCAATCCGGCAACACCCAGGAAACAGGAAGCCTCACCCTACAGCAAGTCTACTCCTAGGAATGGATTCCAGAGAAACCTGCCAAACTTTCACCTGCATATCAGTCAAGATAAGATAGAAGATGTGATGATTCTTGGGATTACTGGGATATTAAAATAACTAAAAACAATCTAGATAAATGTTAAAATGACATTTTAAAATGTCCTTTTTTTAGGACAATCCAAAACTTTGAAAATCTCAATTGTTTATCCTTTTGGGAAGGTTTGCTTTTTAAAAAAAATATAGAAGCCATTATAGTCAAAAAAATTTTTTTAAAAAAGAATGTTACATAGGTTCAAGTAGGTATCATTGGTTGAAATTTAAAATTTTAAAAGGCAAAGTAACTTAAAAAACTAAAAAACATTATTTTTTACAGAAATGATTTCAAAGCATTGTAAAGTCACCCTAGGGTGCACAGAGGATAAAATACAGGAATCATGGTTGGAAACATACATTTTTGTCCAGTTTGCTTTCTGACTAGAAGAGACAAAATTTTGAAGATCTAAATTTGCTGAAATGAAGTATAATTAAGTTTTCTTGGAAGACTTAAAAAACAAAAGTATATAAGAAGTTATAGGACTTCCCTGGTGGCGCAGTGATTAAGAATCCACCTGCCAATGCAGGGGACACGGGTTCGATCCTTGGTCCAGGAAGATCTCACATGCCACGGAGCAACTAAGCCCATGCGCCACAACTACTGAGCCTGCACTCTAGAGCCCGTGAGCCACAACTACTGAGCCCGCGTGCCTGGAGCCTGTGCTCTGCAACAAGAGAAGCCACCACAGTGAGAAGCCCGCGCACTGCAATGAAGAGTAGCCCCCACTCGCCGAAACTAGAGAAAGCCCGCGTGCAGCAACGAAGACCCAGTGCAGCCAAAAATAATACATTTATTTTTTAAAAAAGTTATAAAACCATCCCGTAGTGCGCAAAAAGTAGCAGTCTCTCACCTTCTCACCCACATCCACTCCCCACCTCTGTAAAATTCTGATAGGTGGACCAACAACTGAAAGGCAAGTTGTCAAAGTATCCCACACGTGCATGTGTGGTAGCCACGATGACAGGCCACTCCTGGACATCTTCTTCGGTCAGCTCTCCTGGAAGCCCAGCTCCTCCCACTGGGCAGGGTCAGCATCACTCACTAGTGATGGGTCTTCTTTTCTGCTGGTGCTATTCCATCCCTCAACATTTAAACAACAACTACATATTTGCACACACTTCATGCTTAGCACTGGCCAGGGCTGGGGACAAGAGACAACAGGACAAGGTGCTACTTTTAAGGGGTTATAAACGGGCAAGGGACACAGACAGCTGACCATTGGACCAAGAGATGGCGATGTGATGCACTCTGCCCAGAGGGACTGGGCTGAAAGTGCCTGAGAGGAAGGGACCAGTCAGCTGGCCTTGAAATGGGAGAAGCACGAGGCACACACCTCTCCTCCCAGGTAGGTGGCAGATGGTGTCTTGTTCTCGAGGCTGCTGGGTGCTTGGCAGATGGCTGGCGTGGGGCAGGCTGCCAGGGACACTTGCTCGGGCCTCTGTTCAGCCCCTCTCAGCTCAAGAGGACGTGGAATGACTGTATTCATCTCTGCGTCCTCAGCGCCTAGCGAGGTCCTGGTGCACAATGTGCACTGAACTGACAGATGCTGCTGAGCATCTGGACTGCAGCGCAGCATTAAGGGGCTCAGGCACTGGGCTCTGGCAGGAGGCAGCTGACAGCGATCTGCAAAGTACAGCGCTGGGGGCTGACTGCACACACAAAGCCATCCGCATTTTAAGAGTGGTCTTATGCAATGTCCATCATAGGAGAATGGTTAAATACCTCAAGTCCATTCACCCAATGGAATATTACAGCCACCAAATATGATGGTTAAAAGCTAGATAACTGTATGAGAAAATGCTCATGCTGTCATGTGAACCAGCCAGGATAATCAGTCTCTCAATTTGGATACCTAAATGTATTGGGGAAAAGTAAAAAGGAAATATATATCAAAATGCTAACTGTGATTCTCAAGCTGGTAGGATAACAGGTGATTTTTCATTTTCTTAATATATATTTCTGTATTACCTAACTTCAGAGAGCATCTATTACTTTTAAAGTCAGGGGGAGGGACTTCCCTGGTGGCGCAGTGGTTAAGAATCCACCTGCCGGGCTTCCCCGGTGGCGCAGTGGTTGAGAGTCCACCTGCCGATGCAGGGGACACGGGTTCGTGCCCCAGTCCAGGAAGATCCCACGTGCCGCGGAGCAGCTAGGTCCGTGAGCCATGGCCGCTGAGCCTGCGCGTCCGGAGCCTGTGCTCCGCAAGGGGAGAGGCCACCACAGTGAGAGGCCCGCCTAGGTTTGATCATTTGATCATTCCGTTTATTCACCTTTGCCTCTTAGACCCTTCGTGCTTCTCTTCCTAGAGTCAACCACTCTTACCAGTTTCCCGTGCACCTGTATATATGTATGTATGCGTCAATTATTGTGTATCTATCCTCTTTTAAATATACTGATGTTAGCATTTATATATATACACACACGTATATATACACGTTGATATATATATTAACATTTGCATTTTATGATTTATATCCTTTAAACTTCTGGGGTTTCAAAAATATATAATCCACCTGCCAATGCAGGGGACACGGGGTCGATCCCTGGTCTGGGAAGATCCCACATGCCACGGAGGAACTAAGCCTGTGTGCCACAACTACTAAGCCTGCGCTGTAGAGCCCGCAAGCCACAGCAACTGAAGCCCACACGCCACAACTACTGAAGCCCGTGTGCCTAGAGCCTGTGCTCCACAACAAGAGAAGCCACTGCAACGCGAAGCCCTCGCACCACAACCAAGAGTAGCCCCCGCTCGTCACAAGTAGAGAAAGCCCACACACAGCAACGAAGACCCAATGCAACCAAAATTTTTTCTAAAAACCCTTAAAGTCGGGGAAAATGTCTCTTTAGAGTTTACATTTATGCTGATGTGACAATGTGAGGCAAATTTTATCTTAAATTCACATACTTAAAATAGGTCTTCCCCTTCTGCCTGTAATAACACTATTAATAATAATTTTATTGAGTTTTTACAGTGTTCTAAGCATATTAAACTCTTTTAATGCATCATCTGAATTCAACCTCAGACACTCTATAAGATGAGAATATGACACTCATCTTACAGACAGGGAAACTGAGGCACAGAGATGTTAAGTGACGTGGCCAAGCTCCACAGCTCCAGGACAGGGCCTGTCTTCCAACCCGGCCATGTAACCCCGAGCCCAAGCACACTGAGCACACCGAGCACTGATGTGCTCAACCACACCTCAGTGGAACTAAGAAAGATCAGTGCTTCATTCTTCTCATTCAGAAACACTGAGTCATCTGAAATTTTTTTTTTTTTTTTTTGCGGTACGAAGGCCTCTCACTGTTGTGGCCTCTCCCATTGCGGAACACAGGCTCTGGACGCGCAGGCTCAGCGGCCATGGCTCACGGACCCAGCCGCTCCGCGGCACGTGGGATCTTCCCGGACCGGGGCACGAACCCGTGTCCCCTGCATTGGCAGGCGGACTCTCAACCACTGCGCCACCAGAGAAGCCCCCATCTGAAATTTTGAAGCTACTAGCTTCCAGGTGTCCATGAACACATAAAACTTTCCTTACTGACCTCTTTATTCGCACCTGACTGTGCCAGCTGCCTCTTCCCACTGCTGTTCATTTCCTACTAGTTTACCCACTATTTTAACAAAAACTAATCTCTAGTTTAATTAGCAAAGTGAAGCGATCACAGGGAGACCAGATGGGCTTCTCCGGGATCAGGTGACATCCATGTAGCTGGGACAGGAACCCAAAGGAAAGCCTGCTCTGTAGGAAGGGCAAAGCTCACCCTCCTGCCGTCCTCCCACAGCACTCCAAGAGGCAGTGGCGGGGCACGGGGAGAGCTTGGGCCCAGAGCCACAGATGTCTGAGGCCAAACCCCAGCTTGGGCTCTCCGTGGTGGCACCTCAGGCACGATGCTTAGTGGATTTGATCCTCAGTTTTCTCCCAAGTAAAATGGGGATAACCATACCTCCACTCACATGGCTTTGTGCAGCTGTGTGGCTGCTAGCAACGGGCTGGGGCTCCCTTTCCCTGGGCAAAGAGCTCACGTGAATTCAGACACTCACTTCTGGGTGCGAGAGACACTAAAATGAAAGACAGGGCTGCAGCCCTTAAGCTGGAAGACAAGCAAGCACGCAGGAGGACCCAGGATGATAACCACTGTCACCGAGGCCTGGGCCAGAGCAATGGGAACGGGAGCGGGCCATGAAGTCAGCTTTGGGAAGGCGGGAAAGTATCACAGAAGAAGGGGCACTTGAGCTCAGGCTGGGCAGCAGCTTTCTAGGGAGGTAAGCGGGGCAATGCCGTCTAGGTAGTGGAACTGTGTACAAAAGTACACAGAGAATGGCGTACCACCAGAGGACAAGGGCTCCATCACAGGGCATGCTGCGCTCCCAGCAGCCCAGCAGACGGGCAGGCCAGGGTGTGGAAGGAGGCTGGGCTCTGCCCAGAAGGCGGGG